TTATATATGTATATTTACAGTGTTTTCACATATAGTTCGTTTTAAAAGAACCGAACCGAGTTCTGTTAAAGTGAACCTGGAAGGGAACCAACTGCAAGTGACTTCAGTTCTTTTTGTGTTCATAATGTAAGTGAACTCTAAAGAGGACTCAGTTTTCTTTCTGGTCCATTGAGATCTCAGACCACTTCTTGTTCAGACCACGACTCCATTAGAACTCGGACCCCTTTCACAGCACTCACGGTGTGCACAGCGCTCGCCAAGTGGGCCGCGTTCTCTGATAAATCCGAGCTATCAGGTGACGAGAAGAACCACCAGACCCGCCCGCGGCTCTCCTATTGGCCGCGCTGAAACGATTGGCCGAAGTCCATTGCGCAAAATTGGAAACACGGCCCTGCGGGTCTGCCGCGGTGGGCCATTCAGCGTTCAGAGTGAAAGCAGCTGAGAACTGCGCTGCGTGCCCAGCTCGAGCCTTCAACACGGTATAATCACGCGGGCTCTCGCATCTGATCGCTTTAATAAGTCAGCGCTGCTGTCTGTCGCAGATCACAGACAGACTGTATCCTGAGTAGAACCGTATAAATGATCGTTTGTCTGTTTACCTGCTGAAGCGCTGAAGACTGTGGCTGTGTGTGCGGCGAGCATCGAGGTCTTCACCATAAAGCAGAGCTAAAGCGGACTGGGGCCGTTTTGTTTTCACAATGCACAAATTAATCGAACCACAAAACGAACTACAAACGAACCGAACTGAGACCACCTCGAGAGGTGGTCTCAGTTCGGTTCGTTTTTGGGGCCGTTTAGGGGGGTCTGAGTTCGTTTGGCGTGTTCACATATGCAAAAGAAACCATGACTCAGCGGTCTGAGTCCACTTCAGACGCTGAAACGGCCCAAGTGTGAAAACGCCCTTATATATATATATATATATATATATATATATATATATATATATATATATACACACACATATGTAAACGTTTGGCCACCACTGGTCAAATTTCACGTCAAGGTTCTGTCAAAAGTGACAGAAGTTAAAATATCCTCTACAGAAAACATATTTCTGAACATTTCAATTCTTTATGTTTATAATTTTTTTTTCTAAATATTAAAATTACAAGCTGCCCTTTATATTGTGTGAACTTTTCTTAAAGAACAGAGCAGTAGAAATGCTCCAAACTGATAGGAAAAAGATCTTTTTATACTTATGTATTACATGAAGTGACGTTATACGTGTATATGTGTATATTTATAATGCGCTGCTACAGTTGACTGTAGTATAGCAGTATTTTAGCCTCTACAGCTTTTACAGCTGTGTGTTTCAGTGTCACTAATGCTAACAGAATGCTGTCCTTGTTAGCCAAAGCGTTCCCTTTATTTTGGCATCCACCAGCAGAACCCGTTCCCTCAAAGGCTGCTGGAACAGTACAGCGTGCTCTGCTGAGCAACGGCGATGACTGAAATCACGATTCACCCGAGTGCCATCAGTTAACCTGCGGGGAATGGCTGTGTATACATATTTTGCGAATTCAGTTCACAGAGGCAGAGGTTAATTCACAGGGGCTGCATGTCACAAACTCAGCAGGGTTTGTTTGTGTGCAGTGCTAACAAAACATGAGCCTGACTGCAGAGGAACCTGAGCATATCTTAGCCAGCTTCTGAGAGCAGAGCTAATGCTGTAAGTTCTCGACTGATTTACCTAATTAAATGGCCTTTAGTTGGCATTTGATCCCAGCGCTCCGATGATCCTAATCCTAATATTTGGTGCTGAAATGCTTGTGAGCGTGTCTGGAATGCCAAAAAGACTTCAGATCTACACAAAAGAAACACCCCCACCCCGCTCACCTGTGCTGTGTTGTGTAACATTACCTAGGCTGGCCCGAAGGCGAAGCTCACCTCTTTGAAGTAAGCCTCAACAGCTGGTATTTGTCAAGACGAATGTCCGTGTTTTGTCCTTTTAGCTGCCGAGCATTTAAGGAAAGGAAACGCTAAATGGCTGGGTAGGGACACAAATCCGATGCAGTGAGCTCCTCCAGCTGGGGACAATTCTGAATCATATTTCCCACCGCAGAACGCTCCTGCTTAGCGTTGCACTTGATCACAGAGCAGAAACGACACTTTAAAAATACAGCGGTGAAGCCCGAGGAAGAACAAAGCTGAATTAGGCAACAGTGTACAGCTTAGAACATTGTTATTTATGATAATGAAAGAGCGACATTAACCCCCTAAACTGCTTCAATTCCTCGCTCTCATAGCCACATAACTTACACTGCACTTTCCCAGTAGTTACTGAATAAGAAGGGTTAAGATTACATATCATAATGATTGCCCTGCACACTGTAAAGAAACAGAAAGCTGAACTTAAAACTGTAAGGTAAATTATTTTACACCTTTTCTTGAGTTAACATTACTTGAGGACACTTGAACCCACCCAAAACAAACTTCTTAGTTTAGTAAAAGTTCTCTCAAGGTACATTCTTAGCTCTGTGTCTCATTTAGGCAAAGAATACCTTGTTTTTTCTCAGTTACCCCACTAGCTGGGGCTTCTGCAGGACTTCTGATTATTCAAATGGTCATGTAAACAGCACACTCCGATTTCTTGGACTGAAGTAAAGTCTAGAAATCCGATTAAGAAATCCAATAAAGAGAGCTGGATTGCAGCTCAGTAATCAGATTTCTCGGTGCATGTGAACTCTTACTCTGATTTCTTTCGGATTTCTCAGTCTGCGCATGCGCGGAACAGACTGCAGTACCAGAAATACATGAGCAGCTTCACCGCAAGACGCAGCAAAACACTTTTGGAGCCACACTGAAACCAAAATGCTTGATGAAATGAAGGATTTAAATTTTCTTCATCTTCTAGATGATGTATGTTCATATTTTCAGGTAAAGTGACTCGATATTAAAAAAAAGGTGCGGCATGAAGTTTGAGTTTTACATTATGTTTACGTCACGTCTTCTTCTGTGAGTTTATTGGCTGGTTGCAAAGCAGAAATCTGATTACTGTCTGACTCATGTAGACCCGGAGTTTCCCCATTATCTGATTACTCAAGTGAATGTAAACGCATTGATTGGATTACAGACAAAATCTGATTTTCTGCAGTTATTGGATTATTAAGTGCACGTAAACACACTTAGTGATTATAAAATCCAGGATGGGAAACTGAATTCAAGGTCTGGATTTGAAGACCTCTGGCTTTCATTACTCAGGAGCCTATGAAGTTGCGATGTTTTCTATAACTCTTTGATACGCAGTAAAAACGTTTTATTTTCATTTTAAAAACATAGCTGAATAACAATTTCAACTTAAATTTTGGCCTATGTAGCATTTTTTGTTACCTATACAAAAAATGTGAACAATATTATTTCATTTTAATTAGTGCAGCAAAATCAGCCTCAATTCTAGGAATGTATAAAATAGTAAAACTTAAATATCCAAGTTTCATAATGTAATCAAATTAAGTGTTAAATTTTTGGCTGACCTAAACTTTTGAATGAATTAAATATCACATAGCAATTTAACAAAACAACAATCTCTATCCTACATTTGAACATCTGATGTTCACTTAACTGAAGTCAGATAAGTTACTTTCTATAGTTTTTATTTTACAGTGTTTTAAACCTTTACGGACATCTGAGTACTTCAGGGGCTACCAAATGAAGTGTTCAACCTGCAACATCAGGAGGTTGTGCGTTTGACCCCAGTGATGCCATAGCCATCCGAATGTGGGAGCCGAAGAGGGGAACGTGTGATTGGTGATGAATGGATTGTTCAGATTGTTCATCAGCCAGTGAGGAAACTGTGCATTGCATTGTTTACCAAACTGAGGTGTAGAACTTTTGTCTAAACAAAGAAGTTTGAGTTGGGTAAACTCTAGTGTCCTCATGTTGCATTAACTTAAGAAAGGCTGTGTGATCAGTTACCTTATACGTTTAAGTTGAGTTGACTTTTTGAGGTTTTCTGCTCTTCTAAGACCAGGGAAGTTGTCCATGGTAATCGAGGTGCTACAGATGCAGTAGATTGAAGTATCTGAGCATTCTTTAGGGTGCTTACAGGGCACCACGCTTACGTTCCTCACTCTCATAACTACAGAGGACACACAGTACTAATTTCCAAATAGTTACTGTATAATAAGTCTTACGACTAACAATTGAATGATAGCTTTCAAGCGGTGGAAATAGAGGGCTTAACATCAATTACATTGAATTACTTAATTGTATTATTGCAATGTTATTATTAATTTTATAATTTGCATTATTCTTTCTGTCTTTTGTTGTGCGCACTGTTTCTTGTGTTCCTTTTCTCTTGTAATCGAGAACAATGACAATGTCTCACTCCAGAAATTCAGCTGCATTCCTGAGGCCGGTTCTCACAGAGCACACACCGATGTCTTATTGAGGAGAAGCTCAGCACAAGGGCTTCCTTAAACCCCTCTATTGTTAACACCTGGACTGGGAAGAATGGCCCTTTCACAAGTAAATTGTGGCCTGGCCTTACAGAGAGATTTTATAACAGAGCGCAGTTGACATTGGCAGCTGTGGCACGGCCCGGCTATGGAAAACCTGCGGGCCTCCTCAATTCGCAGGAGATCAATCAAGGCGGCGTGTTTCCCCGAAGCTGTAGATTTCCGCTGAGGAGGGAGGTGAGGGGCTGTAAAATAAGCCGCTTGTGGTTTTGGGGTTCTTTTTTTTTCTAGACTGAAGAATCCCGAAAGGTCCCCGAGCTTCTCTTTGACGGCACACGGAGATCCCTGTAACACTGTCAGCTCCGTGCTGAGAAAAGTGCAAAGTCTAAAGCCTTTAAGCAGCTGCCACTCCCCTCCCCTCCCCCGCTTTCTCTCCTTCTCCATCCTCCGTGCTGCTAGGGATGCAGGGATGCTGTTGCCATAGTAACTGCTGAGTCATTCATTCCATGCCTGCCTGTCATGGAGCTTTGATGTGCCTTCCCTGGACAGACCCCCGCGCCGCTTGCTGCAGGAGCCTGCACATGAGAAGTTGCCTCGCCACAGGTGGCAGAGCATCCTCGGAGGGAGGCGTGCTAGCTAGCTTAACGAGCTAGCCGAATGGGTAACGCGCCCACCGCGGTGAAGCACTGCCTGAGCTATGGGGCTCTCGCAGGGGATTCTCCCTGGCTGCCATGGCTACTGCAGGAGAAGAAGGTGGGGGTTTGCTTCTGTGCTTGATTTACACAGACAGGGATGGGAGGTGAGGGGCAGGACTGTGGTTGTAGGAGCTCTAGTTATCTTTCAGAATTAGACCACTAATACATGTGTCGTATGACTAGACCTGGGCTGGTTTTATCAGACGAGGCTATATAACCAATCTGCGTGATCTGACTCACTGTACGAGATAAAGTATCTGTAATTTCCCCAAATTACCCCAGATTGAACAGATTAAACAGTCATACCCAGAGATTTTAGTCAGTGTTACACTCAATAACAATAACAACACGTCACACATGTCTATCAGCAGATTTTGTGTTTACATTACCACAAAGTATTTGTGAACAGGACGACTGTTTTTCATACATGCACTGTGAAAAGTGATCTTATGCAAAGGCGCTTTAGAAATGGAACAAACAAATATATAAATGTTATAAAGTTAAATAAGGTAAATCACTCTGGTATTATAACTTATCAAGCTTGTAAAAACTGGACATTCACTCTTCAGTGGACGGTTCTTTAAAAAATTTGAATTTTGTAAATGAGACGTGGGACTGCGAAGAAATTTTTAGAATTTAAAGAACCTCCACATAATAAACGTTTTGGATAATCTTAGAAATTAAATTTCCTGAATGGTTCTTAGTTGGACAATTTGTATAGAGCCTTTACATACATTTTGCATACATTTGCATGCACGGGATGAAACATTGCTGTTACTCTGAGCAGCTTATCATCACATTAACATCCCACATATTGCTGCAGTTTGCATATGGTTTAAAGGCAAAATTGCTGCTGTATTTTGGAAGCAAAACTGCACTTATATAAGCCCTAGAACAGACAAGTTTCATCTTCAGGTCAAAACCATTTAAATTTTGGTTGACCTGTAAGGCTATTTGCAGAAAGATACAGGTTTGTTACTACAACTATATATTCAAGTAATTTAGACTGCAGATCAGCAACACACAAAATACATTTTCTTGATTTAGACTGTCAAATGAGAGGTGATGAGTTGGTAAATTTAAACAAAAAAAACTGTTTTTAACCTAATCTGTATCATACAGTCAGTTATGTTGGAGGTAACATGGCAGAACATAATGCACTACAATAATGTGATTACTTCTTACTGTAAAACCTTTCATGTAATCGCATAACAGTTACTGACTTAATAAGAATTAGGCTGGGTGCACACGACACGACTTTAACATTAGTTTTCACAGAATTTCTTGTCTTTTTGTTGTGAGGGTGCTGACACTAGACAACAAGGCAAAGAGAGAGTTTAACATACACAATGAGTTTGGGCTACGAATAAGAACTCAAACTCCCAGATCTCACCACACAAATAAAGCTGAACTCACTGGACCTGTTTGTGCTTTTATGTGCAGCAAAAGTGCAACTGGGAATAAATATGGGTTTGAGAAGTGCTGATATCTTCAGAGCTTCAGAGTTCAATCTGAGGACTAAAGATTCACTCGTTTCTCCTCTCACACCACAGATTATCTGCACAGTCACTTCCGATCAAGCTTCCGACCTAGAAAATCCCTTCAGACTGTGAAAATTTGTCGCAAGGGGCAAATCGGGGTTAAAATCAGGCAAAAAGTCGTGTAGTGTGGGTCCAGCCTGAGTATGAGACAGTCTTACCAAATCTATTCTTATGAAATTTTAATCAACTTTCAGAGGTGTGGACTCGACTCAAATTTGATGACTTTAGATTTGACTAGAGAAAATTGAGTAAGACTTGACTTTGACTTCATCACCAATGACAGACTTGAACCTCATGACTCGGAAAGACTCAAGACTCAAAGGGGAAGAAACGTGGATAGCCTGACTGCAGACGAGACTCTACACACTCGATTATTTTTCAGGAGGATGAATTTGTTCCCTTCTGTATAAACAGCAACGTCCTCAGATGTCTGTTACTGTGTTCATGCTCGGTTTGTAGTATTTCGGAAGACAAGAGAAACGTTTAGAGCTCAAGTTCGACTCCATAAACTGGAAACAAGTGAAGCATCAACAGCATCAATGCCCCTCGCTCGGCATTTAAACTCTTACTGAAGAAACTTACCAGGCGAACTGACCATTTTCCTCATGGTAGTGTAACAAAAGAACACAGCTCTCTCTATTTTAAATGATTTTACAGCTTCTGCAGATAAATCGTACGCAACATTCACCACGAGGCTGAAACTTCGCATTGGAATTTTTCGTTCCACCTTAAATAGTGCAGCAGTGAGGCACAGAAACATAACTGCTGCACCATTTAAGGCGGAATGAAAAATTCCAATGCGAAGCTGGCGAATAAAAAAGTTAACTTCGGTTTTGTAACTTCAAATTCACCATTATTTTGCTGTATTTTCTGGAAACTTTGTTCAGCTCGGTCGTTTTGGTTTCTGTTGTCGTCTGTATTCAATTCGATTTAGCGATTGTTTTATTTGGCTGAACAAATTTTAGTGCTGAACTAGTTTTAGTTAAATCCTCTGCACTCAATGTTCCCAAAAATCATGATATTGACTTGGGACTCGACTTGAGACTTGCCTGCACTGACTTGGGACTTGAATAGAGACTCGACTACCTTGACCTGGGACCTGACTCGGGACTTGAGTGTAAAGACTCGAGACTTACTTGTTACTTGCAACTTAGTGACTTGTTCCCACCTCTGTCAACTTTTGAACATTGGAGTAACACAGTGAAAAAGCAGTTCTGGTTACTGTTACTTTCCTTGTATCCACCTGCAATCAGAGAGTAATCTGTAAAACCTCCACCCACTATGCTGCTCAGGTTTTACCACTGCCCCCTGAAAACTAGTCATATGGGTAACACTTTCTATGAATGTCACCTTTGTAAGCATCTATAAACACTTTCATAACATGTTATAATGCATGCATAAGACATTATAAACATAGCTATAAATATTTATAAAAATGCATTATACATTATTGCCATGTTTATTATGCATTATGAATTGTTAACATAATACATTATAAGTACTGATCATAACAAATTATAAGAGCTCATAAGTCGTATTTGTCCGCTCTAAGTAAAGTGAAGCGTACTGTACTAAAGCCTCCTCCAGTGTTCAGAGTGAGGCTTCAAGTTGAAGTATTGACTGAAGGATTTACTGAAACACTAAAACATTCACAGTAAAGCACATTACAGGCTTCAAACGTCAGAGTTTAAACTAGTGCTGCATCAGTGTTTTACCCAATGTGGGAAAGGTAATGTACACCACCGTTAGCTTGGTATTTGTCTTTACTTTACGCTCTCCAAGCTGGGACTGACTTCTTTGGCACTGACATTATAACATGTTATTAACACTATTTATAATGCATTATATTAACAATTCATAATGTATAATAAACATGGCTATAAAGTGTAATTCAGTGTAATTCATTTATATAAATGTTTATAATCATGTTTATAATGCCTTATGAATACATTATAACATGTTATAAATGTGTTTATAGATGCTTACAAAGGTGACATTCATGGAAAGTGTTACCGTCACATGTCTGAAAGAACAAATGATACAGATTTACAGCTGAATTTGCAAAAAAGTAAAAGTACATTTTGCATAAAAGTGTATTGACGGTTCATCAGTTTCCCATTGGCTTATACTAGAAGTGCTCTTTGATGAAATGGGTTTTTAAATTCAGGGAAACAGTTTGAAATGACTGTCTGTGGTTAATCATCCATATGGTACCGATGCAGCAGATGGAGATTAGATTGAAAAACGCTGGAGAATTCCTTTAAGACCAGCATTTTTAATGGGAAACAAGGGGCACTTCAGTCAGGGGAAAGGGTTCTCCTCCGCATGCTCTGGGTTTATTCTCTCATAAAGAGAATGTGGAGAATGGGAGCACCATACGTCTTCCCTTCCTAATGACTGTTCTCCTCTTCTTTCTGAAATAGTTACTTATTCAGGATGAGGCCACTGAGAACTTGCTTATCTTGCACGGTGACCCGGCTGGCCAGGAAGTGAGAGCGTAGATAAGAGCGGGGTTGCCATGTTGCAGCACCTCTGGAGCAACTTGAGGTTAAGTGCCTCAGCCACTGAGAGCAGCTCTCCCAAGAGCGAAACTGAGTTTTTATTGCTGCTCAAATACTCGCCGTGCACCGTCTCATTGCCTTCCCCAATACCAGTCCCAGATCTCTGAAATTAAACTTGAGTTTTACTGTTAACAGGAAGGAAATTGTATATCATAAATGGCCTGGCAATGAGCTGCGGATCTGGACCCTTTGCCTCAAAGCACAAAGTCATACGCATCATTTGCGAGGAAACATAGCACAGAAGACGTCTTAAGCTGCCTGTCAGTTTTTCCAAAACGCATTGTGGAATGGCCGTGTGCTGCGCCCTCATTGTTATTCAATTTGCAGGGCCCTGACATACACAAGTTTCCAGACTTTGTCAAAATCGTGGAGGTCGGGCCAAGAGATGGACTTCAGAACGAGAAGGTAGGGTTCCAAAAAAAAACACCTGCAAAAAATGACAAATGGACTCACAGAGTGAAAACAGTTTGAATGTAGGCAATAAATCATCTTCCTTCACAGAGGACGTTTCTTTATTTACCACCTGCTCTCAACATATTTCTAGATTTCTTCTAAAACTGCCCAAGTTGACAGACTTTTACTCTGTGCTCTTCTTACCAACCACTACATGTTTGTAGTGATGCTAATGAATAAAGCATGTGTAAAAGCAGCCACGGCTGATTCTTCAACTCTGAAATTGCTCCCAAGTATGAGGTCACTGATTGGTCATATGGTCACTGCTCTCACTGCAACATGTTATGTATTAAAGCTATGTGGTGAGATTGTGTGAGATGTTGTGTAACACAGCTTTTGTAGTAGCAGTACAGATTGAAAACAGTTTGAATGGAGGCAATAAATCATCCTCCTTCACAAAGTACATTTCATTGTTCGCCATCTCTTCACTTCATCTTCTTCATTTTTACCTATTTCTGGATTGTGGATAGTGGCCTTTAGAGCTGAGGCTGAGTCAAGACAGATTTTGGAGTCATCAAGTCCAAATCTAGATGGACATTTTGTAATAGTCGAGTCTGATTTCAGACTGAGATTTTGTAGTAGTTGAGTCTGATTTAAGACTGAGATTTTGTAGTAATTGAGTCTGATTTAAGACTGAGATTTTGCAGTAATTGAGTCATTTAAGACTGAGATTTTGTAGTAGTCGAGTCTGATGTAAGACTCAGATTTCATAGTGGTTGAGTCTGATTTAAGACTGAGATTTTGTAGTAGTTGAGTCTGATTTAAGACTGAGATTTCATAGTGGTTGGGTCTGATTTAAGACTGAGATTTTGTAGTAGTTGAGTCTGATTTAAGACTGAGATTTCATAGTGGTTGAGTCTGATTTAAGACTGAGATTTTGTAGTAGTTGAGTCTGATTTAAGACTGAGATTTCATAGTGGTTGGGTCTGATTTAAGACTGAGATTTTGTAGTAGTTGAGTCTGATTTAAGACTGAGATTTCATAGTGGTTGGGTCTGATTTAAGACTGAGATTTTGTAGTAGTTGAGTCTGATTTAAGACTGAGATTTCATAGTGGTTGGGATCTGATTTAAGACTGAGATTTTGTAGTAGTTGAATCTGATTTAAGACAGATTTTGTAGCAGTCGAGTCTGATTTAAGACTGAAAGTCTGTGGTAGTTGAATCTGAATCCAGATGAAGATTTTATAGCAGTCAAGCTCAATTCTAGACCAGGACCATAAAAAAAGGTTTGAAATGTTTGGAGTTTCTCAAAATTTCTGTGTGATTCAATTGTTAAGATTTGAACGAAGTCATTCAGAGTGGTTTGGTGTGAAATGTTCCGTTCCAGAGAAACTTGCCATGTCAGAATTTTCACAGTGGTAGTGATAAGAACACGTCCTCTAAGAGCCTCTAAGAGAGGACATTAGATGAAATAAACAATTATCTGTTGTCTGACATGCTCTTAATATCTCTGATTAGTTTTGAGATGGTTTGACTGAAAACATATTTTTAAACTCTTGTTTACAGTAGCCATAAAATGCAATTTCCACCTGTTTTGGAGTTTCCTCAGTTTTTTGCACGGTGCATTCTTTCTTCAATAATGTTAATGGTGAAATGGGCACTGGGAGGCGTGCAGAAAGGGGTTAAATCATGTTCATGGCGGAGATGTACATGTAGGGCGCTGTAGGGCAAAATAGTCCTCAAAGTCCCAAACTTATTTTTTCAGATTTACCACTACTGTACCATCATCCACATTACATATAAAAACAGAAGACTCGTGTAGGTTCACTGGTGGTTTTGGCTAGTAAATAAAATGGCTATATTTGTGTTGTAGTCATGGTGACCTCTGGTTCCTATCACCACCACTGTAAAGAAATCTATATGTTTCTGTACAGCTAACCATTTCTTATTGAACCACTTTGAATGCTTTTACATCTCAACCACTGAATTATATAGAGATGCTGAAAAATCAGTGGAATTCCTCTTTAAAATGCAGGCCATAGTAAGTCAATCCAAAGCTACAGCCACTTTGGCATGTGCTACTAAAATTGCCAAAAGCCAAAGTTTTTTCATAATATTTAATAAAAATGAGCCTATATGTATTGTTTGGGCAGCCCGTCCTAACATTTTTCTTCTTGCATGCTTAGCATTTGGTTTTCTTAAACAAGGGCGCTCGTTCCAAGCACCAGCCTGGCCCAGACACATGGTTCACATTTTCCCTTCACCTATTGTATTGCTAAAGCGAACACAAACCAACCCTGAAATATCTCGGAAACATGACATGGTACAACCATATGGCTCACATGTTATGTATTTAGCACGAGTCAGTCACGTCTTTATCGTTGCCATATTCACATATGCTGTAACTCTGGAGATTGACTTGATGACAGAGTTAGAGTTCCCTGAGTGATGGCATACTGCGATACCACGAGCGTTATTTCAAAAAATGAGTGAGTGCGGCAGGTGAACGTAGTAAATCAGAACCTCTCGCAATCAGAAACCATCTGAGCTTCATTGTGTAGCGTACGCACATCTTTATCCCCAGCCAAATCTCAGAACCTCCACTTCATTGTGTTTTTTCTCCCCCCCTCCTCCTCAGGAAATGGTGCCGACAGAGGTCAAAATCCAGCTAATAGACATGCTCTCCCAGACGGGCCTGTCTGTGATCGAGGCCACTAGCTTTGTGTCCTCAAAGTGGGTCGCTCAGGTAATGACTCCGCATTGTGAGCTGACTGAGAGCGCTGACTGATTTACTTTGGAACTCATTGTCCTGCCGAAGACAACCTGCGCTCAGACTATTTCAGCTATGCCTGGAAAACCTGCATAGGTTGCTTTGCTAGAAGACTAGATTTCTAGCATAGCTATTTACCAAAACAAAAAAAAACTAAAAATGTATAATAAAAATTTTGTTTATTTTCTAAATGAAAGTAAGTTAACAAATTTCCACAGAGAACACATTTTTAAAATGACATTTTCTGCTAATTTTACTATACAATTTTTACATGTTGGAAAAAAATTAAGTAAATAAATAAAATGCGCTGTAACTTTTGCACATTTTATGTTTCATTTTTTTTTTCAATACACTTTAAAAAAAGATGGTTCTTTAAGGGTTCTTAAGTAAAGAAAATGGCCCTACACTCTTTTTTGAAAAGAGTTCTAATAGCACCAAAGAGGTTCCGCTATTGTTACAAGCCAAAGAACCCTTTGTTGGTACTGTATAGAACCCTTTTTATTTAGTGTGTGTTAAATTAAAGCCAATAAACACTAATTGTGCATTAAAATGTGCTATCTATCTATCTATCTATCTATCTATGTACATAAAGCGATATACAGCTATATACATACACACACACACACACACAGACATATGCAAAAATTTTAACACTTGTGGTGAAATTACGTTTTGTTCATTTTCTGCTAATTTTACTGTTTCACATTTTTAGCATATTGAAAAAAAAATTAATAAATAAAAAGTGCCATAACTTTTGCACAGGCTGCATTTTGTGTTTGCTTTTTTTCTAATATGTTCAATTAAAGCAAGTAATCTATCTATCTATCTGTCTGTCTGTCTGTCTATCTATCTATCTGTCTCTCTATCTATGTTTAATTAGCTTTGTTTTCTATTATAGTCTTTAAGAATAAAATAAATAAATAAATAATAAAATTAAGACCTGTTTGTTTGTGACCTGTGCCCTTTATTTTTTCAATCCATCCATTCATTACGCTATTTATTTTTAAACGTGTTTACTTGTGGTCAGATGGCAGACCACACTGAAGTGCTGAGAGGGATTAACAAGTTGCCTCATGTCAGATACCCGGTCCTGACGCCCAACCTCCAGGGCTTCCAGGCAGCCGTGAGTAAATGTTTACAGCATTTACATTTATTTACAAGTGACATTTGCAATTTGTTCGCTGTGCCAGGTCACCGAAGCTGCATGTTTCTCCTTCAATAAACCACTTTGGGCCTGCACACCCTGTGCCTGCACGTCTGGCTTAAACAGTTTGCTTAACGCTGCACGTCGTCCATTTTTAACACGTATTTATAAATGTTTATCCCGTCTCTCTTAATTGCTTAGCTGGTTAATCGGCCGAAGCGCGTGTCCCAGTCCTGCGTGTTATCAGCTACAGGAGTGTTTCCTCTTTTTAAAGGTCGATGCAGGAGCGAGCGAAGTGGCCGTGTTTGGTTCCGCTTCTGAGACTTTCAGCAAGATGAACATCAATTGCTCCATCGAGGAGAGCATGCAGAGGTTCGAGCAGGTCATCGCTGCGGCCAAACAGGCAGGCATACCGGTGCGGGGGTGAGTGTCCTTCAGACGACCATATATACCTCCTTCCGTAATGCTTTTTGAAAAATGTTATTAAATTAGACAGACACTGTATTGTTAAGCTTACTGTTCTACATTATCTCCCTCTTATTTCTGTTATTATTATGCTATTTTTATACCATTTTTACTGAGCTAGAACCACAAAACTTTGCAGGATCATTGAGCCTGTGCAGGAATAGAGTGTGAAATAGTGTGTTTATGCTTTTAGTTTCAATTGCAATGCTTTTCTGTCTCCAACAGTGGGCATTAAGTTATGTAGCATTTACTCATACATGATTTTTTCTCATAGGAAATGAATGGCAGAACATTGAGGAAGTTCAAATAATACTTGCACAAATGATGTCAAAAATCTCTCATACTTCACCTCATTACATTACATACAGACTCATGTACATACTAGCACACATACACCTCTTAATTATTGAGTTCAGATGTTTTAGCCACACCCATTGCTAACAGGTGGGTAAAATTAAGCACATAGCCTTGCAGTCGTGATAGAAAAACACTGGCAGTAGAGGGTCGCACTGATGACCTCAGTGACTTTAAACGTGGCATTGTTATAGGACGCCACCTCTGCCACAAGTCAGTTTGTGACATTTCTGTCCTGCTAGATCTGCCCTCTGTCAACTGTAAGTGCTATTATTGTGAAATTAAAGCACCTCAGAGAAACAACAGCTCAGCTACGAAATGGTAGACCATGCAAACTCACAGAGTGCTGAAGCGCACAGTGCCTATCCTCTGTTGAGTCACTCACTAAGGAGTTCCAAACTGCCTCTGGAAGCAACATCAGCAAAAGAACTGCACATTAGGAGCTTCGCCTAATGGGTTTCCATGGCCGAGCAGCTGCACACAAGCCTAAGATCAAAATGCACAATGCCAAGCGTCGGCTGGAGTGGTGTAAAGGACTCTGGAGCAGTGGAAACACATTCTGTGGAGTGACGAATCACGCGTTACCTGCCTGACTGCACTGTGCTAGTTTTGCAAGTTTGGTGGAGGAGGGATGATGCTATGGGGTTGGTTTTCAGGGGTTGGTCTAGAACCCTTAGTTCCAGTGAAGGGAAATCTTAATGCATCAGCAGAACAAGACATTTTTGACAATTCTATGCCTCTAATGATGTGGGAACAGTTTGGGGAAGAACCTTTCCTGTTCCAGCATGACTGAGCCCCAGTGCACAAAGCAAGGTCCATAAAGTCATGGCTGGGTGAGTTTGGTGTGGAAGAGCTTGACTGGCCCTCACAGAGCCCTGACTTCACCCCCATCAAACACCTTTGGGATGAACTAGAACAGAGATTGTGAGCCAGACCCTCTCGTCCAACATCAGTGTCTGACCTCACAAATGCTCTTCTGGATGAATGGACAAAAATTCCATCAGACTCTCTCCAACATCTTGTAGAAAACTTCCCAGAAGAGTGGAAGCTGTTACAGCTGCAAAGGGGGACCAACTCCATATGAATGCCTGTGGATTTAGAATGGGATTAATAAAAGTTCCTGTAGGGGTAATGTGTAGGTGTCCCAATATTTTTGCTCATGTAGTGAATATACACACACGTATTAGCAACCACCTGGAATACCATAACAACGGCCTAGCAACATCTTCGCAACCAGCTGGAATATCCCAGAAATGGCCTAGCAACACCTTAGCACCTACCTAGGACACCATAGCAATGGCCTCATAGACAGTACATACAGACTGACATACTTACTAGAACACATATATATACACACATATTACCAGCCACCTGGGTATATCCTAGCAACAGCCTAGCAACACCATAGCAACCACCTGGTATACCACATCAACGGCCTAGCAACACCATAGCAACCGACTGGTATACCATCGCAATGGCTTTGTCAAGCCAACTTAAAGTTCATTCACGAACTTTCCCCTTCTAGTCCCTCTTCCGTCGTTTGCTTCTGAGATTTTGAAGTGAGGCACCTGAGCAGCAAATGACATGATTCCTGAATTAATGAGTAAATAAGTCAAGTTCCAGATGTGCACGTACCCTGGTGCTTTTGTATCATGTCACAAGCAAAAGTCCAGATGTGTCCAGGCCTTTCATTTAGAAAAAAGTTAAAAAGAAAGTGGAAGGGGGTGGGGGGGGGTGTAGCGAGGGCAAAACTACACAGAGAGCGCAGGCACTTCTCGGCCACACATGATCCTGACGCTGCCGTTCTGGTAAAAGTGACTTAATGCCCGCTGTTGGACATGACTGAAAAGTGTTGCCATCACCGGGGCCCGGAGAGAGTCTATGGAAATTCCGGTAGCAAAAAACGGAGGGATCGTCTAACAGCCAAGTGCCCAAGAGAAACATTCTCAACTTTTCACTTGTTTGTCCATCGTTTCGAGCAGTAAATTTTTCCCTTCCAACATATGGAAAGCGCATATAGCTTTTAACTTTGCTCCCCTGCATCATTTCTCATTTGCCACTGTCAACGCTATTGGAACTATTTAACACAACGTTTGACACTGGCCATATGTTTCGCCTGCCCTAGCACATTTGGTTTTATTCCGTGATGAATGTAATCCGTTGTAAGAGTGCTTTGGGCAGCTGCGGCCTTGTCGTTGCCACGGAATAACATTTGACGTTACCGTGCCGACTTTGTTTTCATATGGAGTGTACAATACGGCCCTCAGCATGTCCACTCTGCCTGCATGTTTGGCTTTGTTTGCAGCTACGTTTCCTGCACTCTTGGCTGTCCGTATGAAGGAGACGTACAACCGGCCCAAGTAACAAAGGTAAACTTAGGTGATTCTCTGCATTCAGCACTCTTAAAAATAAAGGAGCGACGCTATAAAAGAGCCAATTTTGGTCCCCCAAAGAACATTTCAGTGAACGATTGTTGGAAATGAGATGCAAAGAACCTTTTTAAAAAGGAAGAATTTGCACATAATGCAAAGTTTCTATGAAAGATTCTGGTGACAATTAAAGATCTGCTTCTTTACAATTACAAAACTGTGGACAAGCAATTAATACTGCCAGTAAATAGAACACATCCAAACCCACCCGAAGATGGTAGTAAATGCTGGTAAATGGTCATGTTTCATTTGCAAGTGTACTCTTACATTATGTGTTCTGAATATGTTTACCTGTCCTGTTAATCAGAACTCGTCAACAACTGACCACCAATTTCACAGTGAATGGTGGGCAGCTGTGTTTGAAACTCATTAACTTAAACCTACCTAAAGAAGAGATTCATCAGTTTTCAACAATATTAGTCAAACACAAGTTCATATCATCTGTTTAGTAGAAATGGCCTTAAGACATCAATACATTAGTTAGAGGAGCATACAATTGTTTATAAATGGCTTGAAAAAAAAAGTGTTCAAATGATTAAATAAATTTAAAAGATCATTATTAATGAATTTGACCATAATTAAGTGGAAACTTAATTGAAAGTAGTACAAAGTCAACATATCACATGTTGAAACTGAGAAATTGTATTATTTTAAGTATATGCTCATTTCGAATTTGATGCCAGCAACACATTTCAAAAAAGTTGGGATGGGGCAACAAAAGACTGGTAAAGTTGTTTAATGCTAAAAAACACCTGGTGGTTGATTGGCAACAGGTCAATGACATGATTCCATATAAAAAGAAAAACACTGTGTGTGAACACAGTTTGTCGCTGCAACCACAAATGCAAGTTAAAATTCTACCATGCAAAAAAAGAAACCATATATAAACGGGATCCAGAAACACCACCGCCTTCTCTGGGCCTGAGAAGGCTTTGATTATTTCAGCATGACAATTCAAAACCATGTTCTGCATGTATTACGACAGCATGGCTCTGTAGTAAAAGCTGATCTGCCTGAAGTTCAGACCTGTCACCCACTGAAAATTATGTAACAAAAAATACAACAAAGGAGACCCTGAACTATTAAGTAGCTGAAACTCTCTCTCAAGCAAGAACGGGAAAACATTTTACTTTCAAAACTACAGCAATTGCCTAATTGGTGGGCAGTCCTAGGCTGGAGGTTAGGGAACCAGCCTGGTTTGATCTGGTTCGATCCCCTAAGCCGGCAATACGTGACTGAAGTGACCTTGAGCAAGGCACCTAACCAACTGCTCCCCAGGCGCCGTGGATAGGGCTGCCGACCGCTCTGGGCAAGTGTGCTCACTGCTCCCTAGTGTGTGTGCATCCACTAGTGTGTATGTGGTGTTTCAGTGCACGGATGGGTTAAATGTGGAGGTGAAATTTCCCCATTGTGGGACTAATAAGGGCCACTTAAGTAGTCAATTAGTCTCCTCAGTTCCCAAACGCCTGCAGATGTAAATTAAAAATAAGAGGTGATGCAGCACAGTAGTAAACATGCCCCTGTCCCAACCTTTTTGGAATGTGTTGCTGGCATCAAATAAAAAATAGGCATTTATTTTCCAAATAAACAGTAATATGTCTCAGTTTCAAAATTTGGAAGTGCCCATTTTTGAAAAGGGTTCTATATAGCACCAAAAGGGGTTCCACTATTGTTACAAGCCAAAGAACCCTTTTTTGGTTCTATATAGAACCCTTTTTGCTAAGAGTGTAGCATTAGGTCTAAAATAAAATGCTAAAGCTCAAAGTCACAGATATGATCAATCACAAAACAGTACAGATGCTGTCACCAACAAAAAATGAAATGAAACCCAAAAAAGCAACGAGCAGCTAAATATGAATGTAGCAGAGGAAAAGATTCCTTTACTCGCTAATATACTTGAGTAGAAGTAAAAGTAGTCTGATTTGAAAATGCTCAAAAAAGAACAAGACAGAAATGTTTATAAAATAAAATATTTTACATGTGCTTGAGTAAATGTAACAGGTCACTACCCACCTCTGATGACAGTCTGATGTAAAGTGCCTTCATTTTGTAAGAGTGAAGCTCTGAAACCAGAATAAATGAGTCTTTGGGCATTCAGCAGTTTGAATGTACTGAATGGTAGTCAATCCTCCAAGCACTGCATGTCCTTTTTCTTCCACCTCTAACAGCTTTGTCGTCCCTAGAGGCCCTTATTACGTTGTTTGCAGTAAAAGCCGCAGCGTTACTCTGGCCCTCAGACTGGGCCCTCTGTGTGCACTCCCCCACTGTTTGTTTACCTTTCCTGAGGGGATTTATGTTTTTACGGGCTCTTCTTTCCCTCCGTTTCTCGGCCCAGGTGGTGAAGCGGCTGTTGGAGCTGGGCTGCTATGAAGTGTCTCTAGGGGACACGACTGGCACAGGCACGGCCGGCTCCATGGCCGCAATGCTACGCGCCGTGACCACAGAGGTGCCTGTCCACGCTCTGGCCGTCCACTGCCACGACACTTACGGCCAGGCCCTGGCCAACATCCTGACCGCACTGCAGGTGAGCAGAGCCCAAGGCCTCTGAATGCTCTCTTTATGCTCCACACGAACGGCAAAGGTGGGTAACCCTGAGGTATTACTGCTCTGGCAGACGGCTGCTGTATTATGAGCAAAAACACTGTTTAACTTTTTACACTGCATTGGCACGAAGAGAGAAAATTAGCAGAGACAAAAAACACACACGCTGGGCAGCCCTGGTCAAATGACACTTTGTTGACACATCTTCTACAGAGGACACACTTCTGCACATTTTAATACACAATTACTGTTTATTTGCTGAATTTAACATATTGGAAAAAAAAAGTAATAAAGCATAAAATGTGGCCTGTGCAAAAGACATTTGGGATTTTTTTTTAATAAATAAACATTTGAATGAAGAAAAGTTTTATTATTTAATATTTAAGTTCCCTGTAGTGACATAACATTATGACCACCTCCTTGTTTCTACGCTCGTTGTCCATTTTATCAGCTTCACTTACTATATAGGTGCACTTTGTAGTTCTACAGTTACAGACTGTAGTCCATCTGTTTCTCTGCATACTTTGTTAGCCCCCTTTTACCCTGTTCTTCAGTGGTCAGGACCCCCATGGACCCTCACAGAGCAGGTACTATTTGGGTGGGGGATCATTCTCAGCACTGCAGTAACACTGATGTGGTGGTGGTGTGTTAGTGTGTGTTGTGCTGGTCTGAGTGGATCAGACACAGCAGTGCTGCTGGAGTTTTTAAACACTGTGTCCACTCACTGTCCACTCTATTAGACACTCCTACCTTGTCAGTCCACCTTGTAGATGTAAAGTCAGAGACGATAGCTCATCTGCTGCTGCACAGTTTGTGTTGGTCATCCTCTAGTCCTTCATCAGTGGTCACAGGACGCTGCCCACAGGACGCTGTTGGCTGGATATTTTTGGTTGGTGGACTATTCTCAGTCCAGCATTGACACTGAGGTGTTTAAAAACTCCAGCAGCACTGCTGTGTCTGATCCACTCAGACCAGCGCAACACACCACCACCACATCAGTGTTACTGCAGTGCCGAGAATGATCCACCACCCAAAGAGTACCTGCTCTGTGAGGGTCCATGGGGGTCCAGACCACTGAAGAACAGGGTAACAGGGGGCTAACAAAGTATGCAGAGAAACAGATGGACTACAGTCTGTAACTGTAGAACTACAAAGTGCACCTATATAGTAAGTGGAGCTGATAAAATGGACAATGAGCGTAGAAACAAGGAGGTGGTCATAATGTTATGGCTGATTGGTGTATTTCCACCACATGAATCAACAAAACAAGCAGTATTAGAGAACTGAATCGATTCCTTGAGTTTGTGCATATATTGTTTGAAGCAGGGCTCAGAAACGAAATTTGCTCTGAGCAAAACCTGCATTTAATGCTTCAATTCTTACGTTGCTAAGCTGCTAGAACAAACTGAAAAATCAATCCTTCAACACATGCTGTTGACCTAATATAATTAAACTGCCTAAATCTTACATTTAGGTCCATTCATAATGTTTGCATTGGTTTATGTGCCCCAAACAGCCATAATTCATTTGTACATGCCTGTTTTCAAACCCCGTCTTTATACCCTGAATATGTAAATGTGTGGGTTTTTGAGACATCAGAAAGCAATGACCTACAGTTGGGCTGTTTTTGCAGCTTAGATTCCATATATGGACCACGCGGAGTGATACATTTTAAAACTTTAACAATTTGTACAGACTACCAAACACTTCTATTTCACACAAGAGAGAAACATTTGGTTTTCCTGGGCACTTCAGATAGTAGGTCTGGAAAGCTATTAGACTCAACTGTTGTGAGAGTCATGATGAAGGACATGCTGACAGAGACAAATCAACGCTATTCAAACCGTGAAGGCACCATTAATGCTGATATATACAGGTTTTGGAGCGACATATGCCGCCGTCCAGATGACGTCTTTTTCAGGGAAGGGTTTGATTATTTCAGCGAGACAATGCTAAACCATGTTCTGCATGACAGAGACAAATCAACACTATTCAAACAAAAACAAGTATCTCTGAAATGGCAACCTTACATCTGTCTCTCACCTGTAATTGGTGGATTCGTGTATCTGTCTATATTTTGCATGAAGCTCACCAATGGACACTCAGTAAATCAGGAGAACATTCACCTATTTCATTCACACTACCAAAACAATTCGTCCATATAAGTACAGCTATTTTTTCACAAGCGATATTAAAGAATTTCTAAAACTGGATTTCATTTTTTCAGCTTTTGGGCCCAATTTTCTCTTTACATGATGCTTCAGGTCAGAAGGGCCTCAATATAGAGAGCTGAGATTGTTCTGAACATTTTGATTTATAATATGTGGATATCATGTCGTGTGCACGGGCCTTTAAAGATGAATTTAAGAATATATGCAAAAATCAAGGAAATGCCCTCAGACCCCAGAGGGTTAACATAGATCAGTCTTAGGCACAGTAGCAGTGTCTCAATTCAGGGGCTGCATCCTTTGATGGACATAGGCTACGAGGGCGTGTCCTTCGAAGGCTGCCTAGACCCATGAAGGCTGAACTGAATGAGACAGAGTCACAGTACCGCTGTTCCCGCCCTCACTGCTGCATCACAAAACGCCGCTCTTTTAAAGTTCTTTTAAGACAGAACCAAACACTTGATTTTAGTTTTCATTTTTCATTTATTAGAGCTGAAGATCTTCTCTCTGTCGGCTCTTTGCTCCCTAAAACAGAACGAAACATTAGCGTTAGTTTAGCTTCAGACCACATTGGCTTTTTTAACATCTGTATCGTTCGCTATTCGACTCAGTTTAAACCCAATACGTCCATTTAAAGTGTCTCCTCAGCCGCCGTTCGCTCCTCTGCTGACGCCACCATGTTCTTGAATCCTCACCGGCACGCAGTGAACCTCAGGATATGTTGGCTGGGTGAAGGATCCACTCTTTGGATCCTTCGTTGCCATGGAAAAGAAGGACACATTTCTCGGCCGCATATGAAGGAGGCTTTGAAATGGGACAGCCTAGTCGCACCACTGTGACGCAATCGGCCTTCAAATGCAGCCTCGGAAGGATGCAGCCCCTGAATTGGGACACAGCTAGAAACAAAGACAGTCTGTTTAGCAATAGAGGTGGAGATTGTATCTTACATTTATCCAGTTTCTATCTAGAACTTGTTTAGCATTGCAGTGCAAATTGGTAAACTGTCTTGGAACTTACTATCCAAAATAATAATTAGTGCTCTGGAGTTTGTACTTCTTACTTACCTGGTTAATGCTTAGAATTTAGTGGACTGTAAAAAAATATATAGTAAATCAGTTAGTTGATATTCATTTTCCAGTTTTTGTTGTCTTAGTTTTCCTTGGTTTGGAGACATAAGAAGTTTGTAGAGGAGAAGTTTGTGGATATTTGTGGCATGTTTTATGGATTTGTGTAAAATAGGAACGCAGACACAAAAGTCCCCTCAGGGAAAAAAATGCAAATAAACAGCCAAACAGCTCCAAAAATCCCCGGAATAGTGATAAACCTTCACTTTTTGCTGTCTCATCATTAAATTATAAAGAAACACCACATGACAACAGATCCCACCTGCCCTGCAGCTCACAACATATGCATCCGCTTGATCTGGGTGTTTTTTCCTTTTGAAATAATACCTTTCTGCGGTTCATTTCACCACCTCTCCCCTCGCAAAACCCAAAACCCACAGAAACCGTGGATGCAGGGAGACCGGCGCGGCTCTGTCGTCCCTCCACTGGCCCTTTTGTGCTCTCTTTCACAGTTTGTCTTTGCAGGCAGCGCTGCGATGCTCTTTGGGGGCAGGGCGGGTCAGCAGATGTGAAGGGGTCGAGACAAAGGCTTACCTATTGGGTGTCTGTTTCATATGACAGTGGCCTGCTCTTGACAAAGGCCGAGAGCTGGAGGGGAGCGCAGGGCCCTTGGGGGGTGGGGCTGGATTGGGGGGGTTCCAACTCATCTATCGCTGAGCCACTGAACCCCTGTGACAATGCTCCGCTTAAAGGCCAAGGGGGAAATTATCCTTTCATCGCCCGCTACTAACCACATGGAGAATGGAGCAGAAAGGAAAACCCCCGGCTCTAGTATTCCTGCCTCAACTCCTACCACCCCTTCCCTTCTCCCCCCTCCTCTGTCTCTCTGTTTATCCATCTCTCCCCAGCTGCAACTCTGTAACCCTAACTGCGGTCGGAGCGCTACAAAACGTGGCTCTGAATCTCCCTGGCCAATTTTTGGGAGAATTGGGTAACATGACAGAAGGACAGAAGGACCGAAAAGAAAGAAATAACGGCCCGTAGTCTGAAAGCGAAGCGTAAAATAATTCCTGCTCCAAGGGAATTGCAAAGTTTTCAATCTTTAATACTCATTCAGACCTTCAGAATCTCTTCCGAATGTTTTTATGTGAATTGAAGGCTGGCCTTTAGTCTCACTGGGCACTTTTTTTGCAGCTCTGGGAGCCAATAAAATCAACTGTTAACACCTAGAAGTGATAATTAGGTGAAACCTGAGAAAGGCACAGATGTTTTTTCCACTTTTCTGAAAACGTAGACTTTTCTCGAAGCAACGCTGCACTCAGTAACCTTTAACTTTGCCATAATGTATTGTTTGCATTGTCATTCATCATGACTTTACATCCTATCATAATTCTGCATTCTGTTTCCATTCTGATTTCTGATTCCAGGCCTGGGCCAAAGTTTTACAAGAGGACAAAGTATCAATTATAGACCGCAAATGTAATTTAGAATAATGTAAACAGATATCACTGACAATTTTTTAAAGATTTTTTATGCAGTAAATCTACTTTTCTATTTTTCCAGCCAATTAGTCTAAAACTGGACTTTTCTGTGTATGGAAAGCTATAGTACTGTGAAAAAGTCTGAGACCACCTCACTTATTTAAAATCCAATTAAAATGGTCATCAAGTACAAGTTATTCATTTTTCAGGTATTTCTGAAGAGATTAGATAAAAAAATAATCCACTTGAATAATGAAGGCAAAAGTCAAA